AGTCTTCCAGTTTGCAATTTGCAGCCTAAATCCTACACCAAACTGGCTGACTTTTATTATGTGTAAGGTACGAAGATACCGATGGCTCTCAAAGTACTCTTTATTGCATAATCAACAAGAGCAGGTCCTTTGCATGTGCCAGGCTACTTTGGCACTTTCAGAGGGATTTATCCATTTGCTCCTGTTGATCCCTGTCTTCTTACCCTTTGTTTATTATTAATAGAATGGGAGGGAAAAAGGGAAAGTACAAAGTAGGGGAGAGCCTTCTTGCCAAATCCCTTAAGAGGAATATGAAAATAGCCACACATGCCCAAACACTAACTTGACAATTCAAATCATATGTTGCCAAAAGATAGACCAAGCATGAATGTTTCACTAAAAAAGAAATTAAAAGCTCTGAAAGATAAAAATTTCTTCTACCACACCGTGAAGCATATTAAACAAGACCCGTGTTGTTGTTGGAAATGAACCTCACACAGTGCTTAACTTTGCGGTGACCTTTCCCTGTGAACATCTTCTCAATTTGTTAATGCTAAAAATAACACAATTGTAGCTGTTGAGGATTACCTAACTACGAGAGGCAGTTGGGAAGGCACGCTTTAAAGATTCTATCCTCTGACGTGCATAAGAACTGCACAATTCTTGAGAACAGCACCTGGCTAGCAAGCCTCCTTTTAAAGACAATGGTTATAAAAATAATGTGTCAACTAATCCAATATGCGAGCCAAAGGAAATATTTACTGAAGTCCATGGAGAATTATGAGCTGATAAAAACCATAAATGCCACAGCAGGAAGCAATAATTTCTATATTACCATTCCACAAGGTCAGGCATCACGGGTACAGCCTAGTGTCAGTCATCGTGAAACAAAGGCACTGCCTATGTCATGAATGAGAAGAATGTTACTTCTAAGAATTCATACAATGTAGCAAAGCCTCAGATCTCCTTCATGACTTTTCAAAAATATAGAAGTATTTGAGCCTGCACTTTTGTCCAAAGTAGACTTAGGCCTGCCCTTCAAGTTTCATTAACTACGATGCTGCCAAAAATTTGACAGAGCAGTAAAACTTGCAAAGGCATGCTCTGTGGTCAGTTGGGCACATGGCAACAGGTAGTCATCTCTCCTTCATGTGTCAAAGGATGTAGAAAATTCAAATACTTCCTTCTTATTGAGTGGCTTTCCTTGTATCTTCTTTCATCATCTGCTAAGCTCTGTATAAAATGAAGGCTGTGTCCTGAACAGAAGCAAGAAATCATTCCAAAACACGATTAAGTCTTCCTACTCCCCATTTTGGATCTGGAATCCCTTTCTTTATATTAAGCGCTTTTTTATATTTCAATTGTTCTACTATCTGTTATTGATAAATTGCCAATAATTGTTTTATTCCCATCAATGTTGGTTGATTTATTTCTACTATTTGTCATAAAACATCACCTTAAATGGTAAAGAGACATCCTTATTGTTATTGCCAAAGAACTCACAGAAAATTCTGCTGAAACTTTCATGCTTGAGTTTTACGAGCTGATAACCACTTATTATGTATACTTATTTGAAAAGACTCCAACCAACAGGGCTGGAAATCAGAGAACGACAACGTCAGCAATTCTGTTCATGACCTTGAAGTGTATACCCATTTGGGGTTTTCAAGCAGTCCTGAAGAACCACATAAGCATTCTAAACTCACAGGATGCCTTTGTACAAGAGTATTAGCCAGGCTTCTGTCTTCACAATATATCAGTCATCAAGAATATTATGAGCTGAAACTAAGCAAGCTGAAATAGCAGCACAAACAGGGGAAGAGAAAAGGGTAGCCAATGTCACATCCTTGTTCGGATTAGTTCTCCTCAACCAAAATTAGCTACAACACAACACAATTTTTGTGTCCTTGGGATGCAGGACTTAATAGCTTTTGAAAAAGGAAGAACTGCAGTAGAAAACCATGAGAAAAGTGTTTTTCTGAAGAAAGTGAATTCAGCAACTGCAATTAACATTAGCAACTAGCCAAATATAACACATGTTGTGTTTTCCTATTTATTTATTTATTTTGAAAATGGCTGGGCCACTAGAAAACATATGAACATATATGATGAACATGTGTGCATCATAATGAAATGTAGAAAAATGCATTTTTTAAAGAAAATAAACATATTTCAAACATTTATAGGGAACAAAAGAAATCTAATTTTTGAAAATAAAGATGGATTTTTCTATATTAATTTTTTGAATGTCTTTATATTGTAAAAAATGAGAACCTGAAGGAATATTTTTCTGTGTGTGTGTGTGTGTGTGTGTGTGTGTCCCTGCTGAATCCTGGAAAGTTTTGTTGGCAATATTTTCAGAAGTGGTTTGCCTCTGCCTCCTTCCTGCAGATGAGAGAGAATGACTGGCCCACAGTCACCCAGCTGGCTTTGTGTCTAAGTCAGGATTAGAACTCATGATTTCCCAGTTTTTAACCTAGTCCCTTAACCACTTCACTAAACTGGCCCCCAATGTTTCTATATAGTATAGATATAATAACATGTTAAAGTTTTGGGCTAGTTCATATTATACCGATCTCTCTTTCTTATTTAGCTTTAGTACAGTATAGTTCAGTATAATAATTATTATATATTAATTTCTCCTTTTTGATAAATTTTGTATTTCAATTTTAAAGGGAACATTTCCAGATTTATTTTACTCTTAAAAAAACCACATTCCAGGTTCTGCCATGGCAATCACATTAGTGATATCTATGGTCAATAATCATTCTCAGCTATTAATGTTCATGTTTTCAAACACTGTAGGTAGAAATAAATATCAATATAAATGTAAAAAGAGCTGTATAAAAAAAGTGCTTTGAGGCTAAGCTGCATCGAATAAAAGAAATTGTATTTATAAAGAATTGACCATATTACTAAAGGCTGTGTAGAAAAACATATATTGGGTAGTTGAATAGGAAAAAGTATCATTTTTAGTATCTAAAAATATCTGACAATATGTATTGAAAAACAGATAAATGGTGCTTTTCTGTATTTTGCTCAAAATTGGAATGAGATGGAATAGTCTGTAAGAACATATTACACACAAATGGACTAGGTTTTTATGGATTACACATCTCTAGTTCAATTTATAGTTCTCTTTAGGTCCAGAAGCATTTTTTCTGATTCTCAGACAATAAATTGTTGATAAATAGATCTTCTGCCAAAGGTAGCAGAAGGAACCAATAATCACCTACAAGATTACACAAGGAACATAAATTCCTCAGATTGCTCTGTTTGGAAATGTAATAAAAAATGTTATAAAATGTAGCCAACCACTCCTTTCTACAAAATTGGAAAATGAGACAACTCCTAATCCTGAGACTCAGATATGTGCACTAAAGTCCTCAGTGGAGAAATTAATAATACAAAACATATAGCTCCCGGTCACAAACATGTTACCACCTCTTGATCTTTAATAAGACCTTTCACTAGAAGTATTCAATGAAACTAGGCAAAGAAGAGACTTTTAGCAGGAAGTCATCAGATCTGCTCCCATGTAACTGCTATTGTGATACATGAGCCTGCTTAATGGATTTCTCTCATCAGTTAAGTGGAACACTGTAGTGCTTGGTAGGTGACACACACTAAGAACTGCTGAGTCCAATGAATCCTTGGCATTTCTTGATCCATCATGAAAGTGTACCAAGAAACCAGAATCCCAATGTCTCATCCCTAGAAGAAGACCCTTGAGCATGTTTCTATCTGGTTCATTTGTCAGGATTTTCTATTTTTATACATTGCCAGATTTAAAAGAATCTAATTAGGAGGTCATAGAACAGTGATGGTGAACCTTTTACAGACTGAGTGCTCAAAAACTGGCCCCATCCCCGCTCCACCCCCTGCCCCGCCCCCACCCCCCCTTCCCGCAGGGCCACTCACCATCTCCAGGGCCCACCGCAGATCTCCCAGGCAGCCCAGCAGCACCATTGCAGCCACACCCTCTGCCCGTGCCCCGCAGCATCAACTGTGCATGATGGGGTGTGAGGGCAGAGTCTTATCTACACTGCCTGGCTGCCATGTACTTGGCTGTGCTGCTCCGCGTGGGCCACACTTGGGGGCGATTCTCCTCCGGGGGGCTGCTGTTGAGGAGAGGGTTGTGGGGGGAGGCAAGGCTGGGGTAATGGCATGTGTGCCCACAAAGAGGGCTCCGAGTGCTGCCTCTGGCACGTGTGCCATAGGTTCACCACCACTGTCATAGAATGAGAGATCTCTAATCCCTACCTCCAAATTGATGACCCATGCTTTTTGTGTGAAAATGATTATAAAATACCAATAAATTGATCCAAACCTGCAGAAAGAAAACCCATATATCATTTGAGGTTCCTTCCTGTTTGGCAAAAACAGGCCTCATATTTGGAATGCTTGAAGTTCTTTTTTTAAAAAAAATTGAATAAGAAAAAAAAGGAAGAAAGCTATGCAGGCGCACATAGACACAATGTTTTTTTTTCTCTATGCAATGAAATCCTGTCAGCACAGTTAATCCCTAGGGAAATCAAAAGTATAAGCTCCAGAACAGCAACAAGTGAATGGTCAAAACCATGTAATCAAGATGAAGGCCTCTTCATACTGAGATTACACACCCCATTGCCTCCAATCACAACCAAAGATGACAGGAACACAAATTTAGAATCATCTTATTTTGCAAGGTCTAACTACCCAACAAAAATGATAAACTGCTCCGGATTTTAAAAATCCACTTTGTCTCTGTATCTTGGATTTGAGATAGATTAAATAATTGAAAAGGCTAGGCTATTAGGTCATGATTTCTGTACTGCAGCTGTCCAGCACAAATTGACAGACACTCGGTAAATCCCGTTGATTGAATAAGAGGCAGGGAAAATCTCCGTGCACAGCAAAGCACACTTGAAATGGAGAAAGGAGCATAATCGAATGGAAAAAAGAGACAGCATTTTATATGGATTTACTTAACTGGTCCTGTGGTAGTAAGAATAGTAATTTATGAATTAAGGCATCAATGGATACACAGAACCAGTCTAAACAGCAACGGCAATTCTGACAGAAATACTGCTTCTCATAAAAACTGAATTGAACTTTCCGTAAACTCGACAAGTGAAGAACCATGAATGGTAAGACATGTTTTTATTTGGAATTATTGTGAAAAAGATTCTGTTCAGCAAAAAACATTGTCTTAACTTCTTAGCAATCCATAATACTTCTTGAAGCAGCTTGCTTCATTTGTACCTTAGCAAATAGTTGTAACCTAGACATACCGATACAGAATGCATTCTTTTCTCATATAACTTCAGAGTTCATAAACACTAAGAAAATCTTTGGGTGAGACATTCAAGCTTTCTGAAATATATTTAATGAAGGAGCACAAGTTAATTTCAGAAAGTGAAGGACTTCATTTGAAGGTTGACATGTTTAGCTGTGAATATAGAGATTTCCAAGTATCTAGGTCCTGATACTATTAATTTAGATTCAGTGGCTTGCCCATCTTAGACATATTAAATATTTTATTTCAAATTCAGTCCCTTGCATGTTTACTAAGTGAAATGTTTCCCCAAATTCAGCAGAATTTACCTGATTTGTAATTGAAGCTCATAATTATTATAAGCATAAAAAAAGACGGGAACCTTTAATAAGTTGGTGATAGGGAAAATATGGCCATACGAGTTTTAGCCACAATTGCCTGTTTCATTATTGTACTGTACACATCTATAAAAGCAATGTTATAAAAAAAATACTAGTTATGAAAAGGAGGCTCCCTTAATTAGGTCATAATAAGATACTGTGTTTCTTTATCTGTTTTAAAAAAGAAAAAATACATTTTAGAAGGAAAATGGATAATATGCAAAGATGTAAAATATAATAATTGAAAGTATTTTTAAACATTTCATGTTTAATCCACAGGGCTCAGTTCATTCAAATATATGTATCTTTAGCACAAATAGCCTATCTGATTTCCTTTAGATATCTCTTCTACAACTCTCATAAATTCCAGTTAGAATATTAAGAATTCAAAAATTGGAGTTATAATTCAAAAAATAGGAAAGATCATACTTATTTATTTCCTCTCCCCCACCAGTGTTTCAATATAACTTAACAATTTGAATAAATTCATTGAAATAAACATGGAAATTCTGAAAACAGGAAAATACCAAAGTGTATATGGAGATTCTCATTCATCCAGGTCATCGTTGTCCCAAAGGTGTTTTTTTTCATGAGGCAACTGGATTTCTTTTTTTCTCTTTAAGATGTTTTGCTTCTCATCCAACAAACTTCTTCAGCTCAGAGTGATGGGAAGTGAAACGTCTTCAAAGAGAAAAAAGAAGTCCAGTTGCCTCGTGAAAAAAAGCACTTTTGGGAAAATACCAAAGCTATTTTGTGTTCCCTAGATGGGGATGAACTGAGCCAGTTTGGTGTAGTGTTTAAAGGTACCAGGAGACTGCGAGTTCTAGTCCCACCTTAGATCCAAAGCCAGGTGGATGACCTTGAGCCAACTCTCATCCTTAGGAAGAAGGCAAAGATAAATCACTTCTGAAAAACCTTTCCAAGAAAACTGCAGGAACTAGTCCAGGCATCATCAGAAATCAAACATCAGTTTGAAGGAACACTCACAGAGATGCAGATGACAAAATAATCCTACAGATGATAAGACTAAATGGAATAAGGTGTTGTGTAGAAATTGAAAGCACTCGTATGATTAAGCTAAATTTGCTTAAATGCTTTTCATAATCCTATTGAGCACTTGAAGGTGACTTTCAGGGTCTACACCAGACATGTCAAACTCGCGACGTCACATGACGTCGTGCAACGTATCGGAGCTTTTTCGCCGTTGCCGGCAATGGGGTGGGCGCGGCTCTGGTATGATGAAACCGGCCGCGGGCTGGCAGTTTGACACCCCTGGTATACACAATGCTAAGCAAAGTAGACTTTAAAATTCTTCAATCATTTTGACCTGAGGTTTTATTACAAGAAAAAGTATAGTTCTTGTATAATGAGTATTTTCTAGTTTTGTATATGTTATCAACATGATTGCTTTAATCAAGTGTAATCACATGTATTTTTATCCAGATGTAAATATCCTAAAAGTTAATTACACTTCTGATAAAGAATGAAAAGTAATTATGTTTAAATTCTTAATCTTACCTAAAAGAAAATTCATATTCAGCTTTCTATTTAGATGTACAGCCCCAGATTCCTAGAAAACTCTATTAAGTGTTGCGACAATAAACTAAATGTGCCATTAACAGTTATTTTCTTATTTTTAGGTTCATTGCTTTTTGTTTCAAGTATTATCATACTGGTAGATGTGGTGACCGACTGTCCTCTCAAATGTCTGTGTCATTCAAATTCAAGGACAGTGGATTGCAGAAATCAAGGACTTGCCGAAGTTCCTTCCCATTTACCTGCTGAAACTCAAATATTACTTTTGTCAAACAATGGCATTCAGAAACTCAGTCAAAGGAGTTTTAGGGGCACAAAGACTCTCAAAATTCTGGACTTATCGAACAATTCTATTTCAGGTTTATTACCTGAAACATTCGGAGGACTAGAACATTTGCAGATTCTAAATCTAACAAATAATGTCATTGGATATGTAGATAATAAGACTTTTAGCTCTCTACCCCACCTAAGAACACTGGATTTATCATCAAACAATATATCAAAGCTTCCTAGAACTTTAGGAAACAAGACAGAGAACATTACTTTATTGTCTCTGAAATATAATCATCTTCAGGAAGTTGACAGACTTCTGCTAGAATCACTTCCAAATCTGAAAATTATTCTTTTCAAGGGCAATTTCTGGCAATGTAATTGTCAAGTCTTTGGGCTTAAATTATGGCTGGAAACCTTTCTGTACAATGGTGAGTCTTTTTTCTCATAACACATATATTGTGTGTCCAGCAACATTAGCTTCACTTAATGGTATTTCAAGGAAAGATCTAAACATGCAGAGTTGTTTTTTTCTAATGGTTGCGGGCACTTTTGACTTCCTGATTTACATAGCATCTGCACATTCTGCCCTGGGTGCAAACCTTATAGAATCTGCAGATTACAGTTGTGAAGTTATCCTTCTCATCTTTTTCTACCACTTTCTCTTATTGGTATCATTATTATGATTATATTACTTTTGTTGTTTGCATGTACACAGAGAGCTTATGCATCAGAGACAAATTCCTTGCTTGTATGTACACAGAGAGCTTATGCATTAGAGACAAATTCTTTGTGTCCAATCACAATTGGCCAATAAAGTATTATATTCCATTCTACAGTTGTAAACAGACAACCATGGGGGAGGGGAACATATAGCCAG